ACCTGTAGCTTCTGGCTTCTTCAAAAGGGATCTTTAGGCCCACATGGGACAACCTCTGTGCATTCTGTTCATGTGTACGTGTGGAGTGACACCCTCTGGGGATTCTAGAAAGTGCACAAAGCCTTGTAAGATTCCTAGAGGTACCACTAGACTCTGGCTCTTCTAGGTCATCTGGGGTTCTTTGTTGACCATGTCCCTAAAACACATCATCATAGCCAGATATAAGACATAGGGCCGTTCATTTTCAAACCAAAGAATGTCTTCTGTGTCAAGTTGATGGTGATGAGCACATAAATACTCACTTTCAAAGCCTGGCCATACCTGAACTGAATTTCACTCAGCCATGGCTTTAGCGGGTTTCAAACACATTCCCTACAAGTGAAACCCATTACACCCCACCTTGCCCAACCGCTGCAGTCCGTTAAAACTAAGTGTTTAAAATGCACCCAAAGACACAGTGGAGACTTTCTCATTTCTCCATGGCGTGCTCAGAAAATAAAACAAGCTAGAAACAACCGCCATTAACCCTCACTTTTGTAAAGTACTTTCTTTTAAGACACCGATCCCAGAGTCACTTTTGTACTCTCGGTTAGATTTTCTCTATACTGAGCAGGTATGTACAAGAGGCAGAGACGAAAGTCCTGGCTCTCAGGGTCCTCCCCACTGTTGGCTCTGGGCACCAGGAACAGTCCCTCTTCGAGTGAGGACCTGCCTCACAACCTCCTAAAGAGTACGAAAGAGCTGGCCTGTGATTTGCTCTCCAGCCTGCTCATCCCACAGACTTATCTCCCTACACAGCATCCATGTTGATGTTGCCAGACCCCACAACCACCCTAGTAACCTATCCCTAGCCATATATGAGACGTTTGATGCACGTGCATAGGTTCAGTTTGCATCTATTCACGATTTTGACAGTTTCCCCTGGAAGTAATTGCTCCATAGTCTTCCATCAGGCAGCTGTTTCTAAACCAGAATACACACAGTCCTTTGTGACTCTAGAGAGTGCCAGGCTTATTTTTATAAGCACAGGCTTTTGCTTTACATGTCTGACCTTCAAGGGACCCCTCAATCTGCAGTCGCCTAAAGGTATGACAGCAATTCTAATTACCTTCTTGGCACACCCCCCACAGCACATGATGAGAAGTCCCTATGTCACCAGGACTGCCGGATCAGTCCTCCCTATTTTTTTCAGTGAAAGCATCCCTGATGGTTTTTGTTTTCTGTTTTGTTTTTGTTTTTGTTTTAAGCTAAAAGAACAATTATTTGAAAGAGGAGGCTACCAAGCCTTGTGGTCTAGCAGGCTAGCAACTAGGAGACTCGGGAATCTCAGTCAGTCCTTGCTTCATGGCTGCCTTGCTGGGTGGCCTTGAAAGTTGTTTGTCCCTGCTGATCCTCTCTGGAGGTGTCCACAAGCTGATGTACTTTCCGGAAATGTCAGCAGTGGCCACACATTAAAGAGAGCCCCCCCCGCACTGTGAAGACAGTGTATGCTTTTATTTTCTTTATCCACGCTGAACGTGGACTAATTTACAAGGCAACACATATTAAATTACTGAACAGTAAAATAAAGTTATCTGATGTTGTCAGCACAAGGATACCTTCCAAGTAATTTTTAAATTACATATCGAGGGTAGTTCGCGCTATAAGTTTCCTTTCTGAGATTGGTTTACCGTGCAGTGATTCCGTGGTGGTGGTGGTGTGGGAGGGTCTACCTCAAACTTGATAAACCTTGAAGTAGCCTTGGCGGTAAAGAGAGGCGATGGCTCTTGTCCTTGTTGGCAATTGGAAAAACCGAGACCCAGAGCACAAGGCAAACTCCTACAAAGGAGTGAGCTGGGCTCTGAGGTGGACATACCTGGGCAAGCATCTGTCTTTCTGCCCAGGCAACGGTGAAGCATCGGCCCCTGCTTTATGAGCCTCTGCTGTGGCTACAGTAAATCGCTACCACGCCGACATGTTTCTCAAATAAAATGAACCTGGGAATTGAAACTAAACCAACTGTGAAAGGTAATCTGAGGAGATACCACAAGTGATTAATGCAGTATCGACTCCGGGGATGAACCAGTTCTTAAATAAGGAATCCTCTAAATAAAGCAACAGTTTAAATAGTGTTCACAGCAGTGGGGAATGGCTTTCGAGAGGAGCCGAAGAAGGGATGAGGGAGAGCCGGAGGGAGGACCATATGGAGTGCAGAGGGGAGGACGGGTGAACAGTGCTTTCCAAGCAGAAGCCTGTCCAAAAAAGTAACAACAAAGCAAAGCAGATAAGCAAATGAGTTACCATGGGGAGACAGAGAAGAATGTGCTCGGTTAAGAGGAAACGCGGCAAAATTGCATTTAATCAGCTGTGAACGTGTGATTCACCTACATAATCATAAAGGGTGTCTCGGAAGGCGCCAGGCGTTACCCCAGCGGTGCTGGAGCAGCTGGCTCTCTGCTGCATGTCACAAAGGAAAAGAGAGGGCTTCCCTTGGGGAAAGATCCCTCTGCCCGCAGGTGTCATTAGCATGCATGGATTTGGTCGAAGCAAATGGTGACTTGGTTTAGAATGTTGGGCCCTTCCGGCACTGTTCACGTCACTGGCGGTTGAGTGAGAGGAGTAGGTGACTTGGTGGTGGATGGGCAGCAGTCAGTGGAGTGCAGGGAAAGTACTAGGGTGTGTGCTGAAGGAACGAGGGAAAGTCTGGGTGAAGTACTGTGTGGAGACGTGCTCTCTGAACCTGGAGGAACACTTGCTGCCTCACAGCCTCTGCTTGTCAAGCTCACTTTCTTGAGCTACTCAAAAGCCCACTTCCTGCTTCACAGTCGAGATTTCTGTGGTTGCTTTAAGAGCAAGGCAACAGCAGCAAAAGTCTGAAGGGCCTAAGTATGAAGGAGGATGTCTCCACGTTATGGGACCATGCAGCCGTAGAATAAGAGACCAGTGCTGTGCACAGACGTGTTTATTTGCTCATGGGGCCTCTCACACGCCAAATCTATATTAATTGCAGCGTGTGCCAGAGACAAATTTAAGTGTGTGTGTGTGTGTGTGTGTGTGTGTGTGTGAAGCAATGTACAAAGCAAAGCTGCCGTTCTCATCCCAAGGAGCAGTCTTTGTGACAGAAAAAAGGCAGACAATAGTCAGACATGTCTTACACAGTGGAGATGGGTGCTATGAATACAAGGTGACTAGGAGAATCAAGGACAAAAGGTAACATGGCGGTTACTTTGGTCACGGAGGCTAGAGACAGCCTCTCTGAGAAGACTCTTCAGGTCAGGTGTCTAGGAGAACTGTCTGGGAGCTGGAGAATCAAGGTCAGAGACCCAGGGCCAGTAAGGGGCAAAATGAACATAAGAATGTTTGGGGCGAAGAAAGAGCAGGAGGACCAGTTCAAGCCCCTGGCAAGGCTTTATTCTTGGTGAAATAGAGTCAACGGGAGATGTTGAGCACAAGACAACTCACAGAAAGCAGACAAAAACCTATTGGCTCAGTAAATAAATTCTTCCCTTTCCACAGTCATCCCCAATAAGCCAATCCTGGGCACAATCCACAGTGAATATGCAAATTCCTTCAGGGTGAAACCCACGTAGAGGGATGGAGTCACAGGGCAGCTAGAAGGGTGTGTAAGTGGGGGGTGGAGAGAGCTGGCCTGGAGTAGCTGTTCTCATTTACTCTATCCTTCAGAAGGGAGTGGCTGAGGAAGACATTCGATGAAGACTGCCAATACTCAGCACTTGTGGCATTCAGAGGGTAGCATTAGACCTCAAGTCCTTTCATTCCATTTCACATAATAAACGTATGGAATTCAACCAAAAGATAAGGCTGAGCTTCTCGTGTATGCAGGAGTGTTTCTGGTGCTTATTTTATCGCCCCCTCAGGGTCTCCATGACTATGCAATTCCTTCTCTCTGGGTCAAGGTTTTACAGAATGGCTTTAGCCCTTCATTCCTCTTTGTCCTAAAGCAGCCCTCAGCATGGCTATCTTTCAGAGAACCGTCATGGCAGCGACTAAGGAGAGGCCCGTTTATCCAGGAATATCCCCAGGGTTCACTGCCAAGCTGGTACTCAGCAAATGCCTGGCAGCTGAATGAGTGAAGGAGCAAATGAATAACTGAATGGATAGATTTGAAAGGGTCATACACATTCACAAAGCAAAATGTAAGGAAGCTTGAAAGCACTCACTTGATACTCTTTTTTCTTTCTTTCTCTCTCTCTTTTTTTAGGAGTTACATTTTGAAAGTTAATTGAGTTTTTTTGTTTGTTTGGGTTTTTTTTTTTGACATCCCAACCAAAGTTTCCCCTCCTTCCTCTCCTCCCTGTTCCTCTCTACACCTCCCTCTCCTCTGTCTACTCCTCCTCCTCTATTTCTCTTCAGATAAGGCTGGGCCTTCCATAGATAACAGTCAGCCGTCATGGTATATTGAGTTTCAGTGAGACTTGGCACCTCCTCTTCTATATAGGCTGGTTGAGGCAATCCAGTAGGAGAAAAGGGTTCCGAAAGCAGGCAACAGAGTCAGAGATAGCCCTTGCTCCCACTTTTAGGGGTCTTACAAGAAGAGCAAGTTACACAACTGTCACATGTATGCAGAAAGCCTAGGACAGTCCCATGCAGACTCCCTGGTTGTCTGTTCAGTCTCTGTGAGTCCCTGTGAGCCCGTTAGTTGGTTCTGTGGGTTTTCTTGTAGTGCCCTTCACCCCACTGGTTCCTATAATCCTTCCTCCCTCTCTTCCATAGGATTCCCATAGCTCCACCTAACGTTTGGCTGCGGGTCTGCATCAGTTGCTGGATGCAGCCTCTCTGATGACTTGGTATTTATTAATTAGTGAGGTCTTTCTGTTAAGACTGCATCCTACACATTTAGTCCAAATGTGTGTAGTGTAGCTGGCTCCCTTATCTAACATTGACAATAACAGTTACTTTTGAAGTGCAGTGTTTTTTGGGGGGGGGGGATCCTTAATGAGCTTACGTTACACAGGAAGTCAGTGTCTTCCCCTACAGCGGTCTCTTCCCACCATGGCTTTCTAAGTCATTTCCACCCTTCTCGGACCAACAGGAGGTTATTTGTTTCCTTCAAGCACAAGCTGGTTCAATTTCTTGTGTTTCTGGGTTGAATCCTGAGATATGTTCTGGAGGAGGGGAAAAAGGGCTTTATAAAATATTACAACTAGATGGTATCATCAATTTTGGGGATAGAATTCAGAAAACTTCAGAGTTGTGTGAATTTTCTATTAAATCTGTATCGGCAGAACCTAAAACCATGATTTAATTCTGTGACATACACAGAGATTATCCAAACTGCTGCCCATCCTGATCAATATCACCGTTACACAAGTCAATGAAGAAACCTGAAGAAACACATTTCTTATCTGTTATTTGCTGGGTCTTAGACACATGCATGAAGATATCTACCCCATACATTGTTTCTCTTTTACCCCAAAGAAACAAGTAAGGCTTCTGCACATCTGAAACAGAGAAAATGGCATCAAACAACAGTCAATGACACTTGGAGAGCATGCTATTAGAAAACAAAACAACTCTGGGTGGTGGTGGGTCACTCCTTTAATCCCAGCATGTGGGAGGCAGAGGTGGGTGGATCTCTGTGAGTTAGAGGCCGGCCTAGTCCACAGAGCAAGTTCCAAGGCAGCCAGAGCAAGTTACACAGAGAAACCCTGTCTCAGAAAGCCAAATAACAACAACAACAAAAACAAACAAACAAACAAAAGACCAGGCAAGATCTAAGAGGCAGTGCTCTAAGGATGAGTTACGGTGTGGTCACTGGCCTTACGGGGGGACAGGCCTTCCAGAACCAATCAACAGAATATACTCTAGGGTAGCAGAAAGAAAGTTTATTAAAACAAAGAAGTAGGGTGGTTGTGGTGCACGTCTTTAATCCCAGCACTTGGGAGGCAGAGGCAGGTGAATCTCAGTTCAAGGCCAGCCTGGTCTACAGAGTGAGTTCTAGGACAGCCTCCAAAGCTACAGAAAAACCCTGTCTCAACAAAACAAAATAACAAAACAAACAAACAAACAAACAAACAAAAAAAGCATACTGGATGACTAAGATCAGAAAAATGAGTCTTGGGAGCTATTAAAGTAGGGATACCCTCTAAACCATAGGACAGGAGAGTTGTCACCCACCTTTCAATTTCTACCACTGACGCCATGAGCTCATTCTTCTGTGGCTGCTGGTCTCAGAATTCTGATGCCTCGGTTATCCCCCTTCTGGACAACATTTGTCATAGTGCTTACTTCCCCAGTATAGCTCCTATTTGGATCAGATGATCATGTGCCAGGGGCTGGCCAATGTGTTCCTAGAATAGAGATTGGAAAAACTAGCACTCTGGTTTCTGCCTTTGAAGGGTTGGACTCAAAGGGTGAAAAGTCCCCCCTCTACTAGAAAAGTGTTTAGGAGTTCCTGGTAGCCTGAAAGGATACCCAATATCAACATTCATTCTTACACCAAGTACCCAATGTTCCCATGTATTGTATGTATTGTAATGTAGTTATTGTTCCTCCAAAAGAGAACCTTTGCCACCATCCCCTCTCCTCATGACAAGGGTCAGGGACACTCCCATTTCAAGAACATGATTCAGTTTCAATTTTCCTTCTACACGATTTCCCATGGATAATGGATTAGATCACGAAATTAAAAAAATTTTTTTTGGTCTTTTGAGACAGGGTTTCTCTGTGGCTTAGGAGGCTGTCCTGGAACTAGCTCTTGTAGACCAGGCCAGTCTCGAACTCACTGCCTTTGCCTCCTGAGTACTGGGATTAAAGGCAGGTGTCATCAACACCCGGCTGAAGTTTAAATCTTAAAATAGTGGGAGGAGGGGCTGGAGAGATGGTTTAGCAGTTAAGAGCACTGACTGCTCTTCCAGAGGTCCTGAGTTCAATTCCCAGCACCCACATGGTGGCTCACAGCCATCTATAATGAGATCTGGTGCCCTCTTCTGGCCTGCAGGCAACATGCAGGCAAACCATTGTATACAAGATAAGTAAATCTTAAACAAAACAAAACAGTGTTGAGAGGGAGGTGTTGTGACTGATGGTGGGTAGGAGCTGGTGGGTAGGCACCTTCTTCTGTTGTGTGTTGGGTGCACAGTTCTGCTGTGCATTCTACAATTCTCCACAGTTCTTCTGAGGGAATGGTCAGCAATGCATCCTTGGATTAGCTTTCCCTCTTTTCCAATTTTGTTTCTAGGCTTCCACTCGCAAAATAAATAAAGCAGTGTTTGTCCCTGCTCCAATCTGGCTGGGAACTCAGACTGACACTGATGTTCTTGACATACATACCTGTCACTGAACACTGGGAGTGTTGCAACCTGTACAGCCAGCATCCACCGTGCTTTTTATGTCTCATGTATTGATGAATCCAAAATAATCAATACCTCCTTATCCAGTGACTTAATAGCTGTGTGTCCTGGCAGTGAAATACTTTTCAAGAATAGTTACAGAAAGAACAGGTTCATTCCATGAATGACCCTCGCTGCTCATAGTGAATTATGAGTAGCTGGGAATTATGAGTGTGTTTGTGGGGGGTCAGGGTACTGCTTTCTCCACAAAGAGGGGCTGCCTTCATTTAAACACAGATTCCCACAGAACCAGTGGCTTTCTTTCTGCGTTTTATCTCATGGTCAATAGATCTAGATTCCTCGACACAGAAAAACTGGTTTTCCAGAAAGTTCTGGAAAGATCTAGAAGACTACATTCAGGCTTCCTGGCACCTAGAATCTTGTGTATTTTTCCATAGGTTCAGCTTCTTTATCACAGTTGTCTTATAAGAAAAAAAAGTTCCAGGTTGGGGTGGCAGAGACTGTGTGGAATGTGCCCCTGGCTCTTCATGGAATGTGCGACAGTCCTGAAGATTTCTACTGGAAACAAGAGGTGTTCAGACCACAAAGTCAGGAAGACCAGACATTACAGCAATGAGATACAAACCCATCAGCAGGGTAATCAGGAATGCTGTGGTGGAGTTCAGTTCTGCACTCCTTATTCCGACTATGGGAGAAATGGCGCCATCTATTGGCCATTAGATCACAGCACACGCAGCATTCCCACAGCATGGAATCTCACATTTCTGAGGAGTTACTTACTACATAGCTCCCCAGATGGAACAAAAACCTGACTTTTAGCAGACTAAGCCTTGAAAGCAGAAGCGGGCGTGTGGGGCTTCTTTGGAGATGGATGAAGGGGGCCAGCAGAAGAGGGAGGGAAGATTAGAGACGGAGGGAGAGATGAATAGCAGCAGAGTATGATGATGTGTTTGCAGAAACATCATAACGAAACCCATTCTTTTGTTCCTATATTTATCTTTTGTAGCAATTACATGCTTTCTTTTGACAGAATGTGTCATTTCAAATTACTCTTTAAGTTTCACTGTAATATTTAAGTCCCCATTCCTTTGCCATCTGCCTGGTATTCATCATAGCAGTGGAGCTATTTCTTCAGCTGATGAATCAGGTTTTCTTTTCCTTCCTTCCTTTCTTCCTTCCTTTCTTTCTTTCTTTCTTTCTTTCTTTCTTTCTTTCTTTCTTTCTTTCTTTCTTTCCTTTCTTCCTCCCTCCCTCCCTCCCTCCCTCCCTCCTTCCTTTTTTTCTTCAGGACAAGGTTTCTCTGTGCAGCTCTGTAGACCAGGCTGGTCTTGAACTCCTATAGATCCACCTGCTTCTGAAGGCGTGTGCCACCACTGCTGGCCATAAAATGTGTTTTTAAGGAACAAAAAGTACCGCTGCCGAAATTAAAATCCGAAAGAGACTTTTCTTCAAGATGCAGCATCATCCCCTGTTTATAGAACTTTATCATACAGGACAGGTGATATAGGGACTGGTACTGAGCTAAAGGGAAAAACTTGGGTGTTAGTGCCCACGCCTCCACTGGAAAATGAAAAAAACACAGTGGGAGGAGCTTAGGAAGACAGAAAAAATGGAGCCAACATCCCTATTCCGTTCCTCAGCTTCCCTGGAATCATCTCTGCCTGGTAGAGCTTTGGAACGCACAGCTTCTGCTTCAGACAACAGGATACAGAGTTAAGACAAGGACTCCCATGAGTGTCTGTCATTTCATCGCATCCCCGCAAAATGAGCTGCTTGGTGAGAAGCATAACAGTGTACAGAAAGACACGACTGTGAATAAGGCCGTTCTCTGCTATGTACACAGAATGTGCTGATTGCACCTACTCTATAACCAGAAGAAATAGTTATCCCAGCAAAGTCTTGCCCAAGGGTCTCTCATCTCACAGCTGATCACTCCTATTGCCATGTAATTGGCAGCAGCAGTGGCCACTTCAGCCTGGTCAGAATGCGTTGCTGCTCTAATGAATTGTCTCTATCCTCGCCATCTGTTCATGAGGTCTTGGGCACGAACAGAAACACCAGTCTTACTAAGCATGCTGGTGCAAAACTGTGTACAGTGAGTGGCAGGTGCCCATGGATTGCTTGAGCCCAGCCGTTGAAACCCAGCCTGGATAACATAACAAGACATCTCTCCCCTAGACATCCCTTCCAAAAAACAGGACAATCAAAAAGACATATTGGGCTGGAGAGATGACTTTGTGGTGTGGGCAAAGTTGACAAGGGAAGGGACAGACTGACATCTAGAGGGCACAGGGAAAGGTGAGTCTCTAGTTGACAAAGAACCCGCTCCCTAGAGGGGCCTTTTGCGATCATTCCAGTGGGGTACAAATATTCTCCTGTTCTGGGACCTGCTGCAAGAGCTACCCCCACCCCAGTTCCTCTTATTTGACTATCCATCTACACGCTTCGTCCCCACCTGTGACATGGCAAGGACGGACCCTTTAGGTTATCTCACCTTTGAGGCAAAGTGTACATCGAACACAGTCCCCAGTTCACCCCAGGGGGGAGGACTTCTTTCCCTTAGCTCTTCTCCAGGGGTGATACTGACACGGCCCCCACTGGTACCACAAAACCATGCCGGTGTCGCTGGTCACCTGTGAGCCGCATTTCTCTTCCTGATGTTTTTCAGGCTTCCCGCTGCTAATTCCACAGGGGCTGTGAGGGAAGGGGGTGGCAGCATGGTGGGAGGCATATGTAGCAGGACAGAGTGCAGACTTCCTTCCCCCACAGCCCCTAAGCAGTCAGCCTTATGGAGCTCTAGACCCCGCTGTGCCACCTCTCCCTGATGAGGGAGTGCTGCTTTGCTCAGGACTCTAGGCTGGACCGGGTGGGGGGGGGGGGGTGTAGTCAAAGTCAAATCCTTCCCAGTTCAAAACAGGCATTGCAGGTCACCTGATTACACGCTGTCCAAAAGTCAAGACCCGGTAGCAAACCAGTAGTTGTTTCCAGAAGCAGAATGATTACTTGTAGGCTAGCGCTTGGCGCTGCGCCAGGAGTTAAGAGGCTGCAGCTGTGCTCTCTCCCTTTGGGATCTGCCACAGATGCTCCGGGCACCGTTAGATCTCCCAGGTCATAAGGACATTAACGTGGAGCTGCTGAGAGCGGGGACCCAAACCAGCTGGAGACCCTCTTACCAGGCTTCCAGGAAATGAGAGCAACAACCCCAAAGGTGATACGGGCTGCCTTCAGATGCCAAAAGGCCCCATCAAGCAGCTTTGCCTCTCTCTCTGGTGGTGCTGATGCCCACAGCTTCTGTAAAGACATGGCGGTGCTTCTGGTTAGCTATTTTGGTAGGAACGGGAACATAGAGCAAACAACCTTGGCCCTCTAATTAAGGGACAGTCTTCCTTCATGAGCCAGAGAGGGAGGCAGTGAAGGGCCTGTGATTGCCGAGGAACTGGGGAAGTTGCCATTTATTCTTATTTTCTTTTACGGAGCAAAGTGAAGCAGTCAGGAGGGAGTTTGCACACTGTACGGTTGCCATGTCCACCCGCTAACCAGCATCTGCTTCACAGTGCGGTTCGCTCTGTTGCATGTCTCTGTAATGGGCACAGGCTCAAGTATTACTACTACCAAAGACAGGATGGTATCATTATAATGTTGGCTAATGAGTTATTCTCCCCTCCTGGGGCACACTAATATTTTGTGTCACCAAATATGAGCACCAGAATATAAAAGGCAAGAAGTCAATGACGTAATAAGCAAGCTCCAGGAGGATGAGGTATCGCCTTGGCAATGATGTGGGGCTCAGTGGCTGCCACGCTTCCTCATGCTCAACCTGCTGCAGTGTCTTAGCCCTTTTCCTGGAAAACTAAAGTCCTTTACTTCACAGTATTTTTTGGGGATATATCCTTATTTGAATTTGTGTGGTGTGCGCATGCATGCATATGCATAACAGAGGTGGATAAGGGGTGATTGCTCCCAATCCAAAACTAGCTCAAGATAAGGTAGTTAGTGTCAGAGCCTATTACATTCCGGTCTCTCTACAGTTCCAGGTTCTAATCCGTCCATCAGTCGCTGCAGACACAGCATCTATCCAGGAGCTCACACCACTTCCTTTTATCTTATGCTTTGTTCTTGGGTGACACCACCCAACTTCAAGTCACTCTAACCACCGGCCCATAATATCCTGATGTGTCCCTCCAGAGGAGACCTTTTCTCTTAAACTGCAGATTCAAACATTCAGTTGCCTATTTGACATCTCCACTTTGCTTAATGTGTGTTTCAAAATTAGAAAGTCTAAAACGGTCTCGCAAGCAAGTCTAAACTAGATTTGTTAGTTTGGCTAGACAAGTCGAAATTAGGCTGTCTAGACTAGCGAGTCTAAAAACTGAACTTCTGATGCCCCAAATTTATCCCTCCCCACGGTCTCTGCAACCTTTCCCCCCTCTGAGTTGACAGAAACTCCCTACTTCAGGTGCGTGCCCAAAGGTCTTGCTGTCACTTGTCACCGTGTCATTCATCGCACTGCTATCAAACATGCCCTAGATCCTGTTTACTCTATTTTTAGAGTATACAGGCTATCCTCTTCCTGTTTCTACTGTTCCGTCCTGGGGTAAGCCACAGTTTTCTCTTGCCTTTATTACTGAAAACAACAGCAACACACCCTCCAGGTGCGGTGCAGCCTATGAGGAAGCTCAACGCACTCTGGAGGCACAGGAAAATCAAACAAAACAAGCAAGACAACCACTTTTCCGCTTCTACCATTTGCTTCCAGCAGCTTGCTGCTCAGGCGTGCTAGATTCTCCGCGCTGTTGAAAACCAGCCTTTGAAGTTTGCCTCTGCGCCCGTCTGATGTGAAGCAGTCTGCCATTGTCTACTCTGCTCCAGGCACCTTTGCTGTTCCTCTCCTGCCGCTGACAGAGGCCCTGCCCACTAACTATTCCTTCTGCCTGGAACATTCCTCCATCGCCTTTAAAAACTTGCTGAAATCTCACAATCTCAGTGAGTCCTGTTTGAATTAAAACATAAAACAGGCTGGGGGATTGCTCAGTGCTTAAAGTACAAGCCAGGGTGCAACGAAACCACAGAACTAGACCACCCCACGGGTAGAAAGGAACATTTATTGGGGACCAGAAGCAAGCAGATTGTATGAGTCACCAGGGTGGGGGCTTTGAGCTGATACCACTTGTTGGGATTGACAAGGAACTGGGTGCCCTTGATGGAAGCGGGTGGCCTTTTCCGGGAGGTTCAGGCTGGTCTCTGACAAAAGAAGTCCCTTAAAGAGACCTGTTTTGCCAGGCGTTGGTGGCGCACGCCTTTAATCCCAGCACTCGGGACGCAGAGGCAGGCGGATCTCTGTGAATTCAAGACCAGCCTGGTCTACAAGAGCTAGTTCCAGGACAGCCTCCAAAGTCACAGAGTAACCCTGTCTCGAAAACAAAAACATAAGTAAAACAAACAAAAAAAAAGATACTTGTTTTTCTAGTAAGCAGAAATCTTTAGGATTGTTTACCTGATAACAGCCCTTCATCACCCAGCCAAAGTCCTGTTTAGGACAATGTCACCAGCACTGCCACTTTTGACCTAACAGTAAGGAAGTTGCTGTTTGGATTCCTAGCACCACATACATTCTGGGTAAGTATGGCAGCTGGTGATCGCAGCCTCAGAAAGTAGAGATCAGGGATCCCTAGAGCAGGCTGGCTGGCTAGATGAACCAGAACTTCAGATCTGGGTTTGACTGAGAGACCTTGCCTCAAAAAGAATAAAGATGTAGAGTGATTTAGGACATCAACCTCTAACATGCATGAACATATATACATGAGTCCCCACCTATGCAAGCATGCATACATACACATACCCACTCACATCACATGCATGAAGAGAAAAGGAAAAAACAAAAGCAAAATCTAGTCTCCTACTCCACAACCACTTTGTTGTTGAACTTGGAGGGTTACAAGCTAATTTTGGCCACCAGTCCTCAATAAGACAATTAAGAGTCAAATTAATGTTGGAAAGCAGGAACAGATGTATTCAAAGCAGCCATATTGGCAAGAGGGACAAAGATACAGCAACTCCCCTAAATACATCTTAGTGTACTGAAGTGAAATCAAAGATCCACACATCCATTTGGTCAAGGACAGCGTGTGGTCCTGCCCACCCCGACCCATTCTCTTGGCTTTACTCTTCCCCTGTAAGGTGGTCTGATATGTTGTTAGGACTGTGAAATCTGTGTGACAAGTTCTTCCTCTGGCTGGGACCCTCTCCTTCTCCCAGCAGACTCCTGGGGAAATTTCCATCTCTTTAGGGTCCATTGTCTCAATAGGTGGCAGACTGGGACTCACAGGTGTCTCTCCGTCTGTCTCATTTCTCCCAGGCTGGCACTTTTCCATCTTCACAGCTACCACGACTGTTACAACCTAGCAAATAAATGACGTCGCTTGTTTCTTATCCCCTCCCCTCCCCCGAACTAAATGTTTGAATTCAGCTTTGGGTCATGAATGTGCTTCAGGCTCAGAACAGCTCTGGGATGATTAATCCTGATAGCTTGATGGGGTTTAGAGTCACCATGGAAACAAACCTCCAGGAATGCTGTGAGGGTGTTTCTAGATTAGGTGGGAAGACTCACCCTTAATGTGGGCTGACATTATTTTCATGGGCTGGGGACCTGGACTAAATGTAAAGAAAAATCAAGGTGAACAGCAGCATCTATTGATTTCTGTTTCCTGACTGGATAGAATGTGAGCAACTACTTCATAATCTTGCCACCATGCCTTTCTAAGTTTGATGGACAGTAATGCCAAACCAGGAGTCAAAATACACTTGTTCTTATGTTGCTTTTAGCAGGTATTTTGTGGCAGCAGAAACAACCGATTAATACAAGTGCTTTGGCAACAGTAGGTATTTAGTATTTATTGTGTAGGATAGGACTGTGAGGCAGTTCAGAGTCAAAGGTTCACTTATCACTGAAGCCCTCTGAGCCCTCACTCTGACCGGTGGGCAGGAGTGGTATTTGGAATTCCAAGAATGAGGGCTAACACAGGGCCACTGTCAGCCGGCAATGGAAAGAGATGTCTAGGTGTTCCCCTTACTTGGTGAGCAGTTTTGTTTTAGTTGGTCATAATTCTTTCCTTGGAGGGCTGGGAGGTCTCTCCCCTCCTTTCATTCAAAGGTCTTGATGTGGTGTTAAGACTTAGTGTGGGTTTGGTTAGTGTAATATCACCTGATGGTAGTTCTAGGTAGAGCTGAGTCATTGTTTTCCAGCTGGGCATAATAAGTGAGACTCCATAGACTTCCCTGTAGTTGGTGTTGAGTGGAGTCTAGGGATGTTCAACTTAGTCTCCCTTACCCACGGGGCTGGGGATGAGACACGCAAGGTGCCACTCAGGCCTTGGGCTCCACTTGTGTCTGTGCCCAATGACAGCTGCTTCTTTACCTCTCTCATGCAGTGCTCATCTTCCCTACTGAGATCAGGCCTACTGCAACAGCAGTATCCTACATCCCTTACCTCCACAGTCCAGGCCCTACAGAGATTCTTCCACCATCAATGCTTAATGGAGGGCACATTCGTTTGGGCTTTGGGAGAGCGCAGAATTGAAGGATGGGCAAATACAGTAAGTTTATTCCAGTGCCTCCCTGCATACGGCCTTTGAATTCTTCTATATACCTAGAATTCTGGTTAGAGCCCTCTGTCTTAGCCAGTGTTCTATTGCTGTGAAGAGGCACCAAGACCCCACCAGCTTGCTACATTGCTCTCTGTAACCTGTCTTTGGTCCAGCCAGCCTGCACAGACAACAACACACATTTCTGGGGGCTTTTTGCTTAAAATCCATGAGTGTCTAGCACCAGATTAGCATCCTAGTTGTGAACAAGCAAATCTAGAGAGTTTGAGCAAAAGCAGAAGGTATTCAGGGTTAGCATGCAGCATTCCAAATTCACTTAGCAAAGCCAAAAAGCCAAGCTAGAAGCTAAAACTCCAGGGCAGGCAAAGACCACCTTTCTGCTGCTGCTACTATACACAGATTCACGGCTTCCACTCACTAGTCAATGTACCTTCCTGGGGGCAGGGCTGGAATAAACACCATACCCTACTTGAAAGACAAATTATGGGGGAGATGAGAGTCACAAGGTGGGGAATTCCTAAATATAGGAAGGCTGTTGAAACAGTATCAAACCTGACAAAAAATGAGTTACTATATAAAAGGTCAAGTAAGAAAATATATGTTCCACTACCTTCCAACTTCTCTTTCTCAAGAAGCAAATACGTGAAACACATTGAATCTCTACAAAGGAGAGAAAGGAAACAATTTATTAATGCTTTTTCAAAAAAGCAAATTCCAGGGATTAGAGAGATGGCTCAGTGGATAACAGCACTTACTGCTCCTGTAGAGGACCTGGATTTAGTTGCCAGCACCCCCAAGGCAACTGAAAACCGCCTGTAACTCCAGTTCTAGGGGATATGATGCTGTCTTCCAGTCTCCATCAACTGTACACATGGAGTGCCCGTACATCCATGTAGGCACTCATACCCAGACATAAAATGAAAATATAAACTTTTCAAAAAAGCAAAATTCATTTTCATCATGCTGAAGAATTTCAGCTTACTCTTATCTGATACTTTACAAAGTATGAGTCACCAATTGTGGCAAATAAAAATTATTTTTGTTTCAATGGAGAAGCAAATTATAGGTTAAAAAATTCAAGTTTAATATATTAAAAAAGGTTACACATAGAGGTTTCGTCACTTCCAGAGGTCTGATTTCCAGGATGAAGTAGTTTTCAACACTGAGTGAGTCCTTTCAAGATCTCCACCAACTGCTCTTTGTCGAGAACACTGAGTATGGGAGAGCAGGGAGCCCTGTTCAACAAGTATGTCCCCTGGCCACATCATCTGCAGGGCTGTGCACTTGGAGCTCTGGGGCTATGAGGAATCCTGGAGACCGGGGGATTCTTGCAGGGTTGCTGTCTCAGGCTGCGGGCCTGGCTCAAGGCCCCCAGCTGGAGACAGTCCAGAAGCATGTGCCTTCTTGTATTTACATATGAAAGCATCTGTTTTTCCAAGGCTGACTTTGAAGCACTCCAATGGCACCAGCCAGCCACAGGGCAACACTGTGCTTGGGCACCGGGAGCTACTGGCTTTATGTGAAGGTGACGCTGTGTCTGATGGGCCAGTTTTTTTGTCAGGGCTCAGAAGCATCTTCACCTCGGGGTCAGTGATATTGTCTCGGGAAGTCAGGAGGATGCTGCTGCCTCCACAGTCTCTAAGGTGCCTGTGGTGATCCTCACTGAGCAGCAAGACCATGGCTCCACCAACACGCAGCACTCTGACAAAAATGAAAAAAAAAAAGGATATTGGGATGAGTATTTCTTCCTTCAGAAACAACAAACAAACCCGATTTATTTAAAATAGTTGTTAATCGGAAATTTGATTTCAGCTATTTAAGTACAAGCGTTTTGATAATTAGGTGGCATCTTCTATAATGCATATTCATTATAGTAATTATGGAATCTCTAGTACAAATCTGCTTTAATTATCTATTTTTGCTCTACTTAAAAGGCAAGCTTCAAAGTAATTTGTAGTCACATTCTAACAAAGGATTGTATAACGGAGAAGGCAAATGGCAGAATCCTCTGGAACCAGCATATTCAAGAAAGCAAAGTCTTGACGACGGAGGTCACCAGGGAGGAGCTGGGACATGAACAAAGGGACAGTTAAGGAGAGATCTCATAAAGGGAAGACCCTGAGACGTCGGCTTTTGAGAGTTTATTTACTCAGTCCCTCAAGTGCTGTCTGTCAGTGACACATCTGTGGAAACAGTGACTGAAGAGCATGAAGAGCGCGCGCGCGCGCGCGCGAGTGCGCGCGCGGGAGACACTAAAGGACCTACAGTAGTGAGGAGGGGACCAGGGGCAGTTACAGAGTGAGGCAGAAGCTGCAGGGCGCACACTTGAGAGGCTCAGGAGTGACAGAAAGGAGTGACAGGAGGGGCCAAGGCTGGGAGGCAGTGGGGGCAGGGACAACAGAAGGAGGCACTCAGA